GGTGGTGGTGGTGGGGGTGGTGGCAGAGGTGTGTGCTGGGGGGATGCAGTAGTGGCAGAGGTGTGGGTGAAGGGGGGATGCAGCAGAGGTGAACAGTTTAGGAGGGGTGCATAGAGAAGCAGTTGAACAGGGTTGCAGATGTTTCAGACTTAAGTGATATTAAAATCAAGAGCTTTTTTAGGCTATTTCAAATGCTAATTAAATCAGTTACAATGAATGCTGCTTCTTGATGTATAACAGTATGGGGGTGCAGTGATGTGCACCGAGGGGAGGGTGCAATAGGGGAAGAGGTGTACTGAGCGGTGTGCATTGGAGTTGCTTCCACATTAGCAAAGGAAACCAAAAAAAGCGCACTAACAGGCAGATAGAAGGAAACCTACGCTGTCTCTTCTGTCCTACTAAACCTACCTGTCAGCACTTTTTTATATATAACACTTTACTTCCACTTTAACCACTTGAAGGCCATAGTGTTTCACCCCCTTCCTGGCCAGAGAAAATAAGATAGCATTGTGTATCTGTAGTAAAGTATTTGCCAAGTAAGTACACAATTGCAGCTAGTCCTTTTTGTTTAGAGGTATTGTGCTCACATACTTCAGCTAAATTATATTTTGTCAATAAGAATTAGTTATAATCTGACTTTCTTTTTTTTTTTTTTTTTAATTCTTTATTTTGCATTTTCTTATTATAAGCATTGAAAGCGAAAAAACGAAGGAAGCACAACAGAAGGATATGCAGTTTCACATATTAGTATAGTCAGGCGTATAACATGTCGTTCTCTACACAACATTACAACCGAGATCCCTCATGTAATATACTAATAAGGTACACGTGTTTCATCCGACTCACAGTCTCATTGTGCCAGGGGGGAGGAGGGGGTCAAATAGTTTGTGTCCTTTCGGCACACAGCCAGGTTGACCCCATCCATCTGTCTACCCACCGTGGCCATCCGCTGAACATTCGCCGGTTGCGTTAGTATTGTTTGGTAGGTAGAGGACAAAGGAGGAGAGGAAGAGAGATAGAGATCTGGAATACAGGAGGGGGGGTAAAGGCGGCAGGTATGAGGTAAGTTGAGGTCATAGGATGCGTGCATGGGGGTCAAGGCGAGGGTCTAACGGGGACCCGCTCAGGAATTGCGGTCATGTCCTAACTCATCTCAGATATGACAGGTGGTTCAGTAAGGCTAATCATGTCCATGGGATGTTGAAGTATCCGATGCTCATATGTGGTATAGGAGTTATTCCACCATCAAAATTTTGCATTTTCTTATTATAAGCAGTGAAAGCCAAAAACAGAAGGAAGCACAACAGAAGGATATGCAGTTTCACATATTAGTATAGTCAGGCGTATAACATGTCGTTCTCTACACAACATTACAACCGAGATCCCTCATGTAATATACTAATAAGGTACACGTGTTTCATCCGACTCACAGTCTCATTGTGCCAGGGGGGAGGAGGGGGTCAAATAGTTTGTGTCCTTTCGGCACACAGCCAGGTTGACCCCATCCATCTGTCTAACCACCGTGGCCATCCGCTGAACATTCGCCGGTTGCGTTAGTATTGTTTGGTAGGTAGAAGACTAAGGAGGAGAGGAAGAGAGATAGAGATCTGGAATACAGGAGGGGGGGTAAAGGCGGCAGGTATGAGGTAAGTTGAGGTCATAGGATGCGTGCATGGGGGTCAAGGCGAGGGTCTAACGGGGACCCGCTCAGGAATTGCGGTCATGTCCTAACTCATCTCAGATATGACAGGTGGTTCAGTAAGGCTAATCATGTCCATGGGATGTTGAAGTATCCGATGCTCATATGTGGTATAGGAGTTATTCCACCATCAACATACCAAATTCCGCGGAGTAGAGGAACTCTAGCCAATAGAACCATGTCTTCCGGAATGCCCGGTCAGTGTGGTGTAGCGTTGCAATAAGTTCCTCCATCACCCGAATTTCGTCTACCTTGCGGAGCCACATCCCCACTGATGGCGGAGTGACACTTTTCCAGCACAGGGGGATGCAAGCCTTGGCTGCGTTAAGTAAGTGGATCAGTAAAGATTTGCGGTATCGGGCCCGGGACAGAGTAGACAGATGAAGCAGAACCGCAGCTGGGTTCTCCGCCAGGGAGACCCCTGTGAGTTGTTTGACTATACGGAGGACTGCATCCCAAAACCCCCCGAGACCCGCGCATGCCCAAAAGATGTGGAGGATCTTCCTGTCCACATCTCCAGCACGACTGTGAAGTCTGAGGGAACATCTTGTGTAGTGTGGTGGGGACGTAGTACCATCTAGTGAGGATTTTGTACCCAGTTTCTTGGATAGAGCTAGCCATGGAAACCTTGTGTGCGAAGTGAAGCATATAGTCCTTTTGGTCTTGAGTGAAGGTCAAAGATAGATCTCTTTCCCATTTCGCTATAAAGCTTGGTTCAGGATAGTCATCTATTTGTGTCAGGAGGGCGTAGGCTCTGGACAGACCGTGGTCAACATACTCCCCAGTCCGACAAATCTCTTCAAACATTGTCACTTCGGTCCGTATAGAGGGGAGATTGCCCACTTTAGTAAGAAAGCTACGTAGCTGGAGGGTTTGCCATCTCAGCAGCGGAGGGTCTACTAAATATAATCTGACTTTCTGACATAGCTGACCCATGCCATTTATATTACTGTGCTGCCATTCAGAGTTTGTTAGCAGAAATACTTCCCTCACGGAGATATGTGTACTATGAAGTTGGAGGGCCTACAAACATTCAAAGATAAAATGTCATGCATCAAAGTTAAAATGAGGACTATTATGGAACAACACTAAGCTGAAATACGAGGGAGACTGCCAAAATCAATAACCTGTTTCTTGGGTTCGCCTAATGCCGGGAGTACTGTTTGCTAAGCAAATTGTGGACTTGCTATAATGGAAGCTAAGTGGCTTTTACTGTATCCTTATTATATACAAACTATTGCCAGTGTTCCTTCGCTAGGAAAGTAAGGTCAGCAAGTGCATATGTGTATGTATGCATATTTGTAGAACTCTGTATCTTATATTTTTTTCCCGTAACTGTAAATAGTTTAAATATGCATCATTCTTGTTTAGTAAAAAGCACATTTAATATACTGCTGGGGTTCTTTCCTTGGGTTTCCTGCGAAACATTAGACAGTTAGCTGAAACTGATCTGTTTTCTATAGTATTTTGGTTGTTTGTGCTAGGCAAAATGCTGCAAAAACTGTTCATGAAAAGCTGCAGAGGTTTATGGTGACCAGGAGGAGATGTGGAAAAGGTGAGTATTAGAAGAAAACAAAATGTTTTATTTTATGTTCTATTCTTAGTTCTATAATGTCATTGTAGTACTTTCAGGTAGAATACAGCTTCATAACATATCAGCTAGGGAACTACAAGTCCCAGCATGCCCTCATTGCCCTTGTACAACAACCAGATGGTAATCTTCTCCCTTAAATAGAACTTGGGGTGATAAACTGTCAGATCATTTTAGCAGATTTTAGCTTTAAGCGCTTTGGTTTCAGTAAGGAAGAGGAGAAGGTTGTGTCTTTAATGAGCCAGAGCTTCCTTCATGCTCTCTATAATGAAACACAAAGAAGGGAGAAAGCAGGGGTAAGAAGTTAAACCAACTAGTAGTTGCTTCGGAGTGTGTACGACGAAACGAACCGGTAGTCTGGCCAATAATTTGCAAGAGCATTGTGCAGCTCTCATGTCAAAATCAATAAATGGCTGTAAACCTGTCACTAAAACCAGGGTATGCACTATTGTCCAATCTCAC